CCAGCAGGTCCACCCCAAGCCTGTACTGATGCATGGGGTTGTTCCTCCCTAGGTGCAGGACCCTGCACTTGCCCTTGTTGAACCTCATCAGGTTCCTCTCTGCCCAACTTTCCAGCCTGTCCAGGTCACGCTGAATGGCAGCACAGCCTTCCGGCGTATCCACCACTCCTCCCAGTTTGGTGTCATCAGCAAACTTGCTGAGGGTACATTCTAACTCTTCATCCAGGTCATTGATAAAGAAGTTAAACAAGGCTGGGTCCAGTACTGACCCCTGAGGGACACCACTTGTTACCAGCCTCGAACTAGACTCAGCGCTGCTGATGACAACCCTCTGAGTTCTGCCATTCAGCCAGTTCTCAGTTCACCTCAGTGGATCACAATCAGTGAGTTCATCACAAATGAGGCAGACTCTATTTATCCAAGAAAGCAAATGTTCGTAGGTCAGACAAAATTGCTATCTGCAGGTAAATGAAAGCGTGAATAGAGAAAGAGATCTTCCTCCCAGATTAAGTTTTTATTTTGAAGAGTTTCAAGAGTAAAAGCATCCACATCAGTCTCCTTGGTAAAGGTTTCTGTACTAAGCACTTTCTTGTGGTTCGTATTCTTTGTAGGGTGTCAGCTGATTTCAGGCATTGCATCTGATTACTTTGGGAATACTTACAGAAACAAAATAGCAGACTTAAGGAAATAAAGTACAGGAGGAGATGCAGTACTTTGTTAAAAAATTATTTATAATAAACAACAAAATAAAGGTAGCTGTATTTTCCATGCTGTCCTGATGATGACAGGTCTGACACTGATTTTTAGCTGCTTCTGAGATGAAATGATGAGCTATTGTTTTATAGAGCTTTTCTGGGAAAGCAACTGAAGATAGTATAGGGTAAAAATCATGCGAAGGAAACTAGTGTTTTTTCTTGTACTGCACCCTGTCTAATAGTCACCATGAGATTTTGAGTCCTTGGTGTCAGAAGAACCATTGTCCCTGGGGTCGAATGTTGAATATAAAGTGTCCTAACAGAGATTTCTTGAGAGTATAAGCATCATGACTCTTGAGCCTGTAATGGGCTGAAGTTTGAGGGCTGCGAAAGCAGGAATTGAAATACTTGTGTAAACAGTTTGAGTAGTATGTCTAAGAAAGAAGTATTTCATTTTTTTAATTGTAAAGCTCCTTGTAGTCAGCCAGATACCCTGCATACAGACTAAGATGTGAATGAAAAAAATTGTCTTTGTGTCCTGCTTTTAAAATGTTGGGGTGGGGGCAGGGAAAGGTGCTCATTTACAGTTTAATAGGTCCTGGCAATTGTTTTGACCATAATCTTGGCCAAAGCAGCTGTATTGCTTACTACTATATAATGGCTCATTGGGGGCTTGGGAGGGGGCTGGGGTGATGAACTGTGAGTTCTCCTTAGTCTTTTAATTTAAAAAGTGGGCAAAATAAGCTTACTGTTGGAAACAAATCTTAGATATTATTTTTATCCTTTTAATGTTAAATGCTGTTGCAGGTAACATTTAAGTACATAGCATAAGTAATGCCCTGAAACAGACATTTTTCTGTTCCCTTCCGAGTGTTTTTAGCTTGGTTTCTATGGCAATGAAACCTATGCAGAGTGTCAGGCCTCGTCTTTCCCTGCCTTCAAAAATAACTTCTAAATTTACCAGCCAGTATAATCCAAAATTAACCGGGAAGGGGGAGGCTCAAAGGTACTTGGATTCCTACTGGTTTCAAGCAAACTGGTGACTCCAGAGAGGAGAGTCAATCCCCTGTGAAGACAAGGCAGGGCTACTACAAGACAAAATGATACAACCACTGCTGTCTACCCTGCTGGCATAGGCAAAATTTCCAGCTTGCTGGGTCAAGTTCTGCTGCAGTTGTGCGTTTTTATTGTCTTGTTTTGGTTTTTACTCCAGCGGAGTCCCCTGAGAGGAGCTGAAGCTACTGCCTTGGGAAGAGAGTAGGAGACAGGGCACTTGAACAAGAGCTAACAAAAGCTGGTGTCTGTTCATGGAACAACTTGTGTTTGTTATTCTAGCTGTAAATACTCAAGCTGCTTAATCCACTTCTGATTGTTATGAAGCGGTGTTCTGTAAGGAGTCTTATGATTTTTCATTAAGTTGCTACATTAGGATAACCTTGATGCCTTTCAGAATTTCTGAAAGGTCTGTACGGTAGAAGACAGGATAAATAGAAATGCTTCATCTCTGAATGAGTCCTACAAAATAAAGACCTTTTGAATGCAGTAAATGGCATAATGGGGCTCTTTTGTATGGAGCCCTTAGCATGGAATTTTTCTGTTTCCTAATTGCAGTTGCTATAACAATTGAATGACTTATTAACTCTGTCTTTGAGGGCAGGAAGTCTCATGTGCATGTTCTTCTCCCATCCTCAAGTTACCTCCATCATTTGTAAGGGTTACCTTTCTCCAAATTATCTGTAATTTAGTAACTCAAGAAAACGCGTAGAAGACACACAATTGATTTTCTTGGTAATGGCAAAGTGGGTTTTGAGCACTAATATGCTTTTTGACTGATGAATGAGCTGCTGTGGATCTCTCTGTGTCTTCAGGATAGTGACAGCACATACTGTGGCTTGGTAGGGAAAAAAGTTGCAGTGGTTGAAGTGGAGGGCGAAAGGAGAAGAAGAATGGAGGTAACAGACAGAAATCCGTTAACTAGGCTTTACTTCTTCCTGGGCTTGTAGACGAGGTTGTTGTGCTGCGGTAGTCAGAACCACACACGCCCCCCAAATGAGGGTGGCTGTACCAGCCAGTAGTGTAAAAGTATGCCAGTAATGTTCTGTTATTTGCCTCATTGCTAATCAAATGACAGTTTCATTTAAAAATGGTTTTATTTTGGCTATATCCATCGCAATATAAGATTTTTCTTGCGATTGTACTTAATTTAGAACCATAACATTTATAGCTCTCAAGCTGTTCTTCTGGCTTGCTTAACCTTTTTAGAATTGAGTGTTTTGTCTTCTGACTTGCTTTCCGTATCCTTAAATATGTTAGCTTTGAAGTGGTTTTGTTTTCTTTGGCCTTAACTATTCTAAATGGCTATACATATTTCTCAGGTGACCACTTTTGGATCACTGATTAGCCATTAAATGACCTGATTGCTCAGTACTCAGAAACCCTCAGTAGCCCCTATCAGTTCCATTGAAGGTGACTTTTTCTTAATGGTATGTGCTTGTGTGTGTTAGGCCTGTGTATATATGTGTTTACTCGTGTCTGTGCGTAAATGTGTAGTTTATATGTATAGATAAACCCTTTCATCTTTCAGCTGTAGTTCTTTGAATACAGCATTTGGAGTGACTCCTGGAAAACAATGAAAAGTGAGTTAGCGAGTAAATTTGTCACTTTTTCTGACGTGACACATTTAAAGAGAAGGACATGGTGGAAGCCATATGAAAATTGCATGAAGTTGTTCTGTTGCACGAACTTCTTTCGAATCATTTTCTGTTTCCTTTGAACTATCTTTTCAATTTACCTGCCTACAGCTGAAATGCCTTCTTTGCTAGTGATTCATGCTGTTATCCATAGTTTCATTAGAAAGGAAAGCACGGAATTTGTAACCTGCAGAACTTCAAACATGAGCCAGCGATGTGCCCTTGCCGCAGAGGGGGCGGATGGTACCCTGGGCTGCACCGGGCGACCCTTCCCCTCTGCTCTGCTTTCTGTAATGTGAGGGTGGCTGAGCACTGGAACAGGTTGCCAGGGAGGTTGTGGAGTCTCTAGCACTGGAAATACTCAAAAGCCATCAAGACATGGTCTTGGGCAGCCAGCTGTAGGTGGCTGTGCTTGAGCAGGGGGGTTGGTCTGGGTGACCTCCAGAGGTCCCTTCCAACCTCAGCCATTCTGTGAACTGTGATATACTGTAGATACAAAACAATTTTGGTATGAATGTTACACTACTTAACAAAAAGTTTAGCATTCTTTCTTCTGAGAATGAGCTTTTTTCCAGTAATCCGACTGTACTTTGCCTAATATGACATTAGTGTAGATGTATTCTTAATATAACATTCTTATTATAAAATAATATTTTTCTGTGGGGTGTTCATTGAAACTACCAATTTGAAGTTACAGAATGTTTTTTTCAGATGTATTAAATGTACTAATCTTATTTTATGGGCTTTAATTATGATGCTTCAGTAGTTGCCTTGTAGGCATCTTATCTTGTAGTTTACACTAGTGGGAACCAGCACTTTTTTCTTTGATGCTAGTACTCTTAAAGTTTGATTCATATTCAGAACACGATCATGTTAGCTAAAATAATCAAAAATACCTTCTCTAAGAAAAAGAGACTAGTTGCTGTATCCGAACTCCACGGTTTTGATCAACATTTTTGCTTATCCAAATTCTCATTTCTGTCTATGCTTAGATGGACATCTAACTTTAAAACTGCATTTAAAGAAAACCAAACAAACCAGCAACTTAGTTTTATAGGGAAAAGATTAATTTCAATCTGTAAAGAAAAGCAGAATGCTTTGAAAAGTCGCAGAATTTGAGTGGAGAAGCTCTCTGACAAGATGCAAGAGTATAAAAATCCCAGTTATAGAAGTAGAATTTTGTCTTATTTTTTACTTTCTCTAGATTAATACAACACAAAATAGTGTTTCTCATCTGTTGTATTTTCAAATTGATTAATACATTTAATGAATATATTTAAGGAAAAAAGAATGTAGTGGTGTTCAAGTAGTCATAGAATAGAAATTATCATCAGCATTTTCCCATATAGTAAACATTTAAAAAACCGTATTTCTAAGGCTCTGTGAACATCACTGAGAAGGAATCCATTTCGGCAGGGTGATGGTGTGGTGGGGGAGGCAGTTAAGATTATCTTTAGCTGTTTGCTTAAAAAGGTTTAACTGGACTACTTAAAGTAGTCACATGCTGTTTTGTAAATAATTTTTGGTTTTGTTGAAAAGTAATCTTCTCTCTTTTTGAAGATGTTTCTGCAAGTGCTGGGTTGTCATGGAAAGTATTCCCTAAATGCGTCTGAAATTTGTGTGTTTTTATTCTAAGCTTCACAATGAGGATGACCCCCCAGAGTCTTCAGCAGCTGAGCAGCCTTCCATGTCTCCAGAGACTACACAGGCTCCGCAGACAGCAGCTGCGTCTGAAGCAGATACTTCCCCCCCACCTTACTGCAGCCTAGCTGTAGAAGCAGCTGCAACCTCAGGTATTTTTCTCGCATAACAGCTTGTCGGGGAGGAGTGTGTGTGAATCAGCGCTTGGTTCAAAGTGGTACGATGCTGCGATGTGTGTCTTTTGTTGCTTTTTTTTTTCTATGCACACAATTGCAATGAAAATCTATGCTTTCATGCACAGCCCTTTTTCTGGTTTGCTCAGAAGCACACTTCTAAGTTATGCTGATTTTTCCAAATTACTAGACTAAGTGGATGTTCATTAAGTTGTGTAACAGGTTTTAAGTCTGGATGTCATTCAGTTCCACAGGTAATCCACATCTTTGAGTAGTGATCCATTATTAAAACTCATTAGCAATTCTCATTGCCTTTTTATTTAAAAAAACAAGCAAACAAAGCACCAGTTTGTCAAAATTCAAAATTCTGAAGTGTATGCTGTTGTTAGGTGAAAATACTGCCATGAAAAGATTCATTTTGCTTTAAAGGCTCTTGATAAAACTTCTCTGTTGTTCATTCTCCACAAGGTCTTTTTCTCCATTTATTCACTGCTCCCTTTCTTATGAGGTTGTGACTTTTCTTCAGGGTATGGGAGACTTAACAGCAGGCAGCATCGAAGTCCGTGTTCAAGCAGAGTTGCTTGGATTTGTGTCTCCCGTGTGCTGAATAAATATTTTAGAAATAGTCTCCAACCCAATTTTTTTAATGTTAATTAAAGGAGCAATTTTCTGTCCTTGTTCTTTGAGACAGTGTTTACAAGTATAATACATAGCTATGAAGAATTATCCCTATATGTAACATCTTTGTGTTAGTGTGCTTGACAAATCTTTCTACCATGTGACCTGTGCTGACAAGTCTTTACCACATAAGCATATAAATGATGCTTTAGTATTTCAATATAGAAGAATGAAGTCTGTGGTCTATTTTGATAGAAGGAACATTGTTAAACGAATGTGGTGAAATTGAAATCTTGGAAAAACTGATTTTCAGAGAACAACTGCAGGTAGCAACAAGGCCATGCTAGTAAAAATACACCATTATTATTACTGGACGTAAGTAATTAAATTGATGTTGATAATTAAAAGGGTTTTTTTAGGATGTTTCTGTGCATGTCTCTTACATAATTTGGTAGCAAGCCATTAGTTGGAATACCTAGGGATACAACTCAGCAAATACAATTTTTTTGTTCATAGATTTATTGGATCCTTGCAGCATCTAGGTTAATGTTTCTGCCTTGAATAGCAGCTAAAAGCACAGTCAAACTGTTCACTATTTTATTTTATAAAAATAAAAGGTTTTTTAAACTTACAAGAACTTGAAATACAAAGATCGTCAATTTCAGACTCTGTTTAAAGTGCAGTAGTTAGGTGCATGTAAAATCTAATATTGACATCTTTCTGGCTTAAAAATGCGTAACCTCTTTATTTTGAACAGAAACACACAATGAATTTTATCCTGTACCACCTCCATACAGCGTAGCTACCTCGCTTCCTACTTACGATGAAGCAGAGAAGGCCAAAGCTGCAGCAATGGCAGCTGCTGCAGCAGAAGTTGCCCAAAGAGTAAGTGATACAGTTCTGCTTTACTTAAATTTTGTGAAATGTGTTAGGCTAATATAATTATTTATAATAACTGGGCCCATAATATGGCCTATTTATTAGGGTAGTGGTGGGCTAGTGATTTAAATATTTTGGATGCTTAGTTTTGTGTAAGTAGTGTAATTTAGTTGTAAAATACTATGAAAAGTGTATCATATGCACTCTTCTGAGGCATAGCTGCTGTCTAAACAGTTTAAAAGCTAAATTTTGCTCTGTTTTAATAGTTTATCCAGTATTTTGTCATCTTTTAATTAGGCATCCAGTACTAATGTTACTTTCTAGAGTTGTTGCTGATATTTAGTGTTTCAGATGGTGGGGAAAAAAAAAAAACCCAAAAACCAAACCAACAAAAAACCCACCAAAAAAAACAAAACCAAGTAGACTTCTAGAGAGAGAAAAAAGAATTCCGACAGTATGGAAGGGACGTAACCCCAAATAAAGTAGATCTTTTAAAAGGAAAGGTCCCTGTTGTTTGCTTCATGAAAAGTTTAATACTGAAGCTCAAACAAATGTTCCAAGTACTTAAAACAAACAAAAAAACCCTACACCATGAGTTATGGTAAACAATTAATTAAGTAATAGGTGTATATTCAGTGCTCATAGTTTTGTAAGGATTAACATTTTAAAGAATACCGTCTTCAGAATAGAAAATCAATATCTGCAGTTAGTGTTAAATGTTAGTTTTGTAAGCACAATTCTTCCCTTTTTTTTTTCCCCACAGTTTTTGGACTGTGGAAATTATGCTGTTTGGTAGTATTGCCCGTAATATACTTTATTCAAATTAGGCTTCCAGTGGTTTCACTGAAAATCTCCAACCTAGAGATGAAATGTCGTTGCATTTCAGATGGGTTTGAAATCTTAGCGACTGCAGCGTACTTGTGACCTGAAAAAAAAGTTCCGCTCACCTAGCAGGAGGCTGTTCCTTGCTTCGCTGCTGCACAGTAATCGTGGTGCACAACACTCACTTTAAGGTCTGTGCAACTGAAGTTGAAGTGGATTTGTGTGACATCGCCAGTGAAGGTGTTACACAGATGTGTTTTGCCAGATGCAGCAGGGAAGCAGGAACGCTGGCATGGCTGCCTGCCGAGCGTCTGCTGTGAGGTGATGATCTCCAGTTGTAACCTTTTCACTGCTTTAACAGGAGCATGGGTTCTACGTAGTCTGTCCTTACTGCTTGCTGTATAAGTAAAAATTTTGCTGAAATATTGGCCTGAATGAAACCCTGAATCTGAAATTATAGACCTTTAAACTTACTTGGAGCATTAGCAACCCAAACCTGAACTTTTAGGGTACTATTGCCAGTGCTGTGACACTTCAGACAGGACATGTGCAACTCCCTGGCAAGATTCTTGTTGCTTTTACCTTTGTATGTGTAGAACCCTACGGGGTGAAGGTTTCAGACATAGAAGTAATCTTCCTTGATCTCAGTTTTCACAGGGAAAACCGCAGGCTGGGGTTCAGCCAATTGAAGTTCAGCAAAAAAAAAAAACAAACACTCTGTTTTTTGCCCTGTTATTTTAAGTTTTTTTTACTTTAGAGAACTCTTTCTTACATGTTCAGGTCACCGTCAGAAGCATCTTTTGCCCTTCCTCAGAAAATCTGCCTGGTTTTGGCCAAATTCCAAGTTTTTGAAAAATTAATTTTGGCAGTTGATACATACAGCTTCAAATTTGGTAAATGTGTGGAGATTGTCTTCCATGAACAAGTGTAGACTGCTCATAGCTCTGAAGCAGATGGGACTGCAGGTGTGCTGCTGCCAGAGAACATTCTCAAATGTTCTGTATTGGAGTAGGACTACGGGACTAAAAGTAGATACACCTCATGACTGCTCTTGACAGCTTTTGGTGAAAACACTGGAACTGAGAAATAGGAATTACTGATGTGCCCTGAAGTAGTTTTATTATTCTCGGCCTTTGGTTAGAATAAATGAGGAAAACCACTTGATTAAACTGCAGTGGCATCAGTGGTAGGTGGAGGGAAGGAGGACAGTGACTCAGCCTCTGAGAGTTACATGTTGTAAAAGTCTGGTTTTGCTTGGGCAAGGAGGTAACTGGCTCAAAGTGAACACAGGTAGGGATCAGAGGGGATGGGTCTGAGTCTAGATGAGGAAAGGCAAGGGTAAGTAGAAAGCAATGTTGTGGAGGGAATACAGAATACAGGGAATAAGAAACAGGAGGGAAGAGGATAAACTGGGATTGGTGGAGAAAGGAACTCGGGTGGGATGGTGTGGTTCTGGGAAAGGAGCTGAAGCTCGTGTGTGAGAAAAGAGGAGTGGGGAGGGAGAAGGAATCTGGAGTTCAGAGGCAGGAGAATAGGATATGGTGAAAAAGTGAGAATTAAACTTTTATGTAGTCTGCTTTTCCAAAACATGCAGTAGAACTTGATGTTCTAGAGCTAGGTGCTGACACCACAAGAACTGCACTTACAAAAAAATCAGTGGGAATACACCATTGTTGCCCCAAAGCAGAGTCTGGCTGGAATGTGGTAGACTTCTGACAGTATTGAGTTAGTATCAGAAGTCTTCTCAGTGTACCTAAAAGCCATAGTCCTGCTGACTGCTACAAATCTCAAGTTTGATAGAATCTACGTGCAGTTTGCTTCTGTTTCTTTGGCTTTTTTCTTTTTTTAAAGCACACACGTTTACATACACACGCACAAGCAATGTTAGAGAAACAGCATTAAGGTCGCAGAGTTGAGATTTGGGGAGAAGTAAGGGGTTCCAGTTTGGTAGATGATGCTAAAATTATGTGCCTACACAGTGTTAATTAGTGGCATTTTAGTTACCTTGCCACGTGATACTGCCACAAAATCCCTGCCTTGTTTATTACCTCTGATGGACTTACACTGGGGTGGATGAAGACAGTGTAATAAGACTGTCTTAATCTGGCAGATGACTGGAATAAGAAAAAAAAAAAGATCATGTTATGGTTGGAGTGGTGGTTTGCCGTCTTGAGGGGAAGGATTTTGATCCTTAGCTCTGAATACCCATGGAAGAACAGTTAAGTCACTTAAACTGTTGACTGCTGGTATGTAGTTAATTGTTTTCTCACTTTCGCTGTCTTGGAGATCACAAGCAGTGACAGCTTAAGACTGTATCTGACTTGTGAATTACACACTTTATAAAACATACATAAACAATATAACGTAGGTTTTTTTCAGGTTTCATTTTCAGTCTTATAAAATTAGTGTTCTTATGTGAACTCTGCTATGATCTGTGCCTCTAGTTTATTCCTTGTAAAATGAGGCCATGTTCTTCTTCACTACAATAATGTGAACAGTTGGAAAAAGTTAAATGTCCTTATGTTACTGTGCCGTAATACACGAAGCTGGTTTGTGTAGTCCAAAGTATGCAGTAAAGAAGGCTACAAATCTAATCCTTGAGAAAAAGAGAGGAAAATGATGTAAAAAGACAGTATACTTAATAAACAGCTTTTATATTTTTTCACCCTGAATCATGTAGCGATCTTACAAAAAACATTACTGTGGTCATATTAAAGACTTCATCGTAGACCCTGCATCCACAGATTGTACAAACAGTCTAAACTTAACATTTACTGAAATTTTCAGTACTAGTTTTTGTAGTCCTTTGGTTTGTCTTAGAAGAATACATTGTACAGAAACACTTCCTTCCTTCAAATGCTCCCGGTAGCTCAGTGTATCAAAGAAACTGAAACAGCGCTGTGTCGTCAGTAGTGAGAGCGTTAGTTACCCTGGCTTTTGATGTTTTCTCTTTCAAATTCTCAAGGTTGGCTTTGAAAGATTAATCTAAATGGACAAAAATATTGCTAACAGTTAAATGACATGTTTGTATGTTGCAATGAATGGCTTTTACTTAATGCTTTTCAGTTGCATTTGTCTTACGTTTTTCTGTTTTTACATGCTTAGCACGCCCAGTTTAGGGAGTCTAGGAGTCTGTTTGATGAATTATTCCTCAGTCGTCCAGAGGTATGGTATAGTTCTCTCTAGTTTAGACTTTAACTATGAATTTTCCTGCTGGCAAACAAATGCTTCTGGGTTTTTTTGTGCTTTTTTTCCCCCACCATTAACTTCTCCATATTGTTTTATATGCTGCAGGTATCATTTACGGGGTTTATTAAGTAGTTTGACCCTTTCAACAAAAGTTTTTCCTCTATAAATCCACTGCACTGAGAAGAGTTATATGAGTTTAGTTACCCAAAGGGTTCCTGAAAACTGTAGTTAGTTACTTGATTAAAGGTGGTTGCCTTGCTGTGTGCCATGCTAGGTTTCAGTCTGAAAGAAGTTAAAAAGCATTGGGGGGGAGGGGGAGGGAACAACAATGCTCTTTTGCAGAATATTGGCAGAGGAGTTTCAGAGGAGTTAATAGTTTCGACTTCAATAGATGCTGTGTACTGTTTGATGTTCTCTTGCTTAGGGAAATTACTCTGTGACATGCCGTTTATGTTGATGATATATTTTGCTGTTTAGACTTTCTCTGGTCATAGAAACAGTAAGTTTTCTGTTAACGCACATCTCGACATATTTAGCAAACAAGAAGTACTGTCTATGATCCTGAACATGGCTAAACTTATAAAAAAATGAATGAGATGCTAAAATGGTACTATATATTTTATGGGTTTGTGTGTGTTGTTATATGACATTCATCTCATTAAAAAGAAAACATATATATGTATAAATAAATTATTATTCTCATTGATAAAAAAGTATCTACTAGAAGTCTTTCTATGCAATTACATCATGTGAAAATGATAACACAGAAAACTATTCCTTTTCCTAAAGGTTCTGGTAGTTTTCATATGCCAATTTTTGGAGACAGTAAATAGAACTTGGTTTAATATAATTCCTTTTTGACATGGAGTGTGATAAATTGCAACTTGTTCGCACTTATTGCAACAGTGCCTACTTGCAAATGTCTGCTCTTGTGTCTCTGGGTTATATATTGACCTGTGTCTTTTATAGAGTGTCATTCACCAATTGGTTTGGAAATGCTAGTATGGAGTAGTTAGCAGACAGTTTAAAAAAAGTCCAAAAATTATTTTATATGAGGTTTTATAGACATTCTGAAATTAAAATTGAAAATATTTTTCGTTGTCCTGGCTTGGAAAAGGAACTTCTGTGGCATACTTTTCAGAGATAAGCACATTCACATGTAGCTCTTTGTTAAATGCATTTTCAGCCCTTCGTTCCCTTCCCCCTCATCAGTCTTGTAGCTGCCGCAGAGTGGAGCTAAATAAATTAATGCTTTCAATAGTCACTTAAGATGACTATTTAGGGATGTCAAATTATGTAGAGTTGAATTACAGCCCCTTAATATTGTTGTTCAGCTAGCTTTTTGTGCTTTCCTTAGTATTGCCTTATTAAATAGCAGTGCTTTTAGTAATTTATCTGATAGAGTCCTGCTTAATTAATCTGAAATGAACTAGCACAATTGGAATGTCATGGCTGTGTTATGAAGAGTAGTGCTGGCTGCCTTGAGTTGGTACAGTTTGTTCTAGCACATTTTTAACCATATTCGCTATACCCTGGTAAATTGTTTTGCTGTGTTGACAAGGGTAAATGTGTCAATCACGACAGAGCTGTAGATCATTGACTTTAATTTCCTTCTAGTTACGAACTTATTGTACAAAATAACATTTGGTACAGTGGCTGAATAGTATGTTTAAATCAGAAGTACATTATTTCAGTAGTAAGTGTTTGCTGTGGGTGAAACAGCTAAGTAAATCTCACTTGAACTAATCTCCCCTGATTTCCTATGTTTTTTAATAGGTCATTTCTTATGTCAGTTCTAATACATTATGATTAACTGGAGAAAAAAACAGGAAAAGAATGTTACTCGTGCTTATGTCTAGACCATGTTACTACTGCTACTGACAGCATTATTAACTTGTATCATGCTGCGTTGTTTTGATGTTATTGATTTAAGTATACAAATGGTGTGTTTAACTGGTTTTACAGTTTTCATCAGGCTCTCTTTAGTAAATGCTGTCATCATAAAAACTTTGTTTCCCAGTCTGCCGTTGCAGCAGTGTTTTACTTGCGCACAGAACTGCGTAGGTAAGATCTGCCGAGTTCTGCTGAATATCAGGCACTGAGAAACAAAGCGAACTCATACTTTCAGCATCTTGAGATCTAGTATTTTGACACGATGGGCAAAAATCTTTGGATTGTTTTGACTGACATCTCTGTTTAATTTTGTTTGACTTCAAGGACTCTGCTGTTTTGAGTTTGGTAGGCTTTTAAACACTTTTGATGGGCTCGTGCCCTCTAGCGTCCCCATGGGTGGTCTTTGCTTTGATGGTGTTGTGCTGTAGGTTATCATATATCAAATCGGTTAGTGTGCTGCTGTTACATCAGCAGTTTATTTTAAGGTACTAACCTGATTCTAAAGCTATACATTTTGGGAAGCATTAAAAGTCTTTTCTGGCAGGAAAAATATAAAACATGCTATGTAATGATTTAAAAAAAAATAGTTTGCATATCAAGATAGTTACAGTAAGAAGAGAGATTTCTGTTGGTTTTGGTTGTCAAAGTACTCATCTGAAATAATTTCTAGGTTTGTTTAAGATGAATAGGCACTACATACATATCTTCTGCAGAAACTTTTGAGTTACATTTGGGCTCTGTCCATATAAGCAACAAATAAGACTTGTTTTATAGCTATGAATTATTTTTCTTTTAAACTTCCTTGATGCGGACGTGTTGCAGAAATGTAATTTTTCTTCTAACTTTAGAAACTTAATACTTTAATCATAGAGATAGTTATTCTAAAATAAACTTTTCACTAAATTATCACTAACCTGTAAATCCAGGAAGAAGAGTATCCACCACGAGATGATTTCAGTGATGCAGATCAGCTTAGAGTGGGCAATGATGGCATCTTCATGTTGGCATTTTTCAGTAAGTTATCTTGTATCCCAGACCTACTGAGGTATCTCTTAATTGTACCTTTTTTCTATGCAATATAACAGATAGCTGTGTTAAACTGCATTATTGTACTGTAATGAATGTATTTTTTTTTACCTGTACACAGATATAAGCACTTCCTGTTCAAGATGTAGCAAATATGTTGCACGCTTTTTCTGTGGCATCTGTCACAGATAAGGGGACAAAGCAAAATCATAGTAAATATTTTGAGGCATAGCAAGGTTGTGCTGTTACCTGTGAATTGGGAAATTCTATCATCTTCTAGTTGGGCTACCCACTTAATTAAAGGCTGGATCGCAGAAATCTGGCAATCGATTTTGAAGTAGAAGAAATTTGAGAGAGATGATGTGCCATGTGAAAGTTGCTGATGTTAGCGTAGTGAATTAAATAGCTGTGGGTGGATTTTTGGAACAAATCCAGCAAAGCCTATTTTCAGATTGAGCTAACCATTAGCGTATAAAAATGTACTGTCTTCAGGTAATGTCTGACTACAGTCAGCACTTCTGTAGCACTGCTTCAGGTACTGTGTGGGTGCACTGTGCATGTCTTATCTTGTAACTTACGTACTGCACTGAGCAAAGTTAGATTTAGCAACTATAAATTACCTCTAGAAGGAAGGTGCTTCTGTTTTGCCAGTTACAAATCTCTAACTTCTGAGGATATATTCCCTTTCTGAAATAAAAGTTTGGCAACCTGGGTGAAGGCTTGGTGTTGGGGATATAGCACTTCTTTTTAGCATTCATCATGATTGAAAGCTGATTGATTATCTTCTGAAATCTCCTTGATGTCTTTCAACCTAGATCTCATCTCGATTCGTTTTTCTTCAGTGTCTTTCGCAGTCTCTTTATTTAACTGTTACAGATGCAGGTTACAGAACTTTCACAGAAGGTTTTTTCATGTTGCTGTTCGGTGTACTAGGACAGTGTGGTGTTTGCATATTGGGATAAAAATATACGTGCCTGCCTCACACAGCAAATATATCAATATGTATATAGGGTAACAAAATAAGTTTTGTAGTCTGACCTCTTTCTGTAGCTAGGCTGTAGAAGGCGTATATATTCTTTGGGGCAAAAAGGGTTATTACTTAATTTTTTTTCCCCTTTTTTTCCCCTTCCCTATGTGCTACAACTTTTTGTATTTAACCTATTTAGGTTTTGTATTGTATGAACCGGTTCTTGTTTTTAAATCCCAGTTCAGGCCTTCGTTAGCACTGCATTTGGAGGTCAAGTGGATTGTTGGCTCTTAATATGTTTCCAGTCCTTAAAATCACAGCTGAAAACAGACTTGCTAGCTTGCAGGTAGGAGCACAGCAGTAGTAAAAATGCTGCTATGCAGAAGCTGAACTGCAATCAAAGGCTTCAGAAAGGCTTCAATGATACTCATGTGCAGTTGGCCAAAACTGCATGCCTGGAACCTTGTGTCCACCTTCAGAATGCAGATGTTTACTTGAATAAACTGGCAACTTTGTCTGCAAATAGCTGTTTAGCTGAGACTGACTACACAGAGCACTGCTTTTACACATTTGACAAAAATACTCTGTAAATTGTAAATTTTCTTGATTATTCCGAGACTATGTTACTGCCAACTTTGCTCACCTATGAATGAAATGCATGCAATGAGAGCTTAGACACTGTAAGATATTTAGCATTTACAGACGTGTAATATTAATTTTCAGTAGTTTTTTGTAGGAAAATTGGAGTACTAAATGAAAAATGAGCTTAACTTAATAAGGATAGATCGTAAATTGTGGGTGACGTATTCCTGTCCCTCCAGTAAGGAGGTGACAGTCTCTGTGAAGTTGATGTATGTAGATTTAAGAGAGCAGGAATTAAAATAAAATTTATGGTATGGCTATCTTTGGGGGTTTTTTTAGGGTGGGATATGTTTAAATGCTGCAAGCAGAGGGGCAAATCACAGCCTAGAATAAGTTCCCTCACTCAGTTAAAATGCAGACCAGTGTCAGGTGCTGTGGTCTACTAAGAGGAGCATGGAATTGGCTTGTTCCAGAGGAGCTCTGCCACCTCCTCCCATCACTGCTAGGTACAGCGTTGGTAGAAAGGTCTTGGGAGGGTCAGGAGAGGGCTGCCTTTGTTTTAAGTATAAAACAGTGACGTTAGCTTTTTAAATTTCATTTTATTCAACTGATGTATAATAAATTTTTTACTGAGCTTACCTGCATATTGCAATCAACTGATGATGTGTAGCTACCATCTAGTGGTAGCTGCCCAGGCTGCACAAAATCGCTGCCTTAAGGCCCATCTAGTGGCCGGATCTGTCTGTCTGGGTTTTTTGTTTGTTTTAGGAGCTTGGTGCATGTGAATTACAAACCTGTTTCCCATCTAAGTTGTGAAGCACTGTTCTGTTTAGCATAACTAAATAGAATGAGACAATATGTTCTGAAGAATAAAAGTCCTTTGCGTGAACAGGTGGGGTTTTCGCTTTAGCACTTGATTCAGAAACTTAGTGGGAAAATTTTGAAAACAACATTTTATTTCTAATATGTGGTAAAATCGTATGTTTTAAGAAATTGATGTTGCTCTTGAAATCTGATTATGTTGGTGAGCAACAAATCTACTCTGTAATCGTCAGATCTGGTGTCTGTGTTTCTGATTTTTGAGTTAAATGAATATATTAGTGAATATATTCATTTTGCTATGAATGTGAAATGCAGAAAATTTTGTCATCAGACCACTGAATGTATTTTTTTCTATTATGTATTTTTAAGTCAGCTGTGCCTTACACAGCATAGTATAAACTTTTCAGAATGCTGGAGGAAGCTGTTAGTAGGTGAGTTTCTCACAGTGTTTTTTGTTTTTTTTTTTTTTTTTTTCCTTCTTGTATACACAACAAAAAGGAGGAATTTCTGAGCTGTTTCTTTCCATTTTGAATACAGCTGTAATGGTGATAGAGGAAGCCACTGTCATCACCCAAAGGGTTTGGTTTTCATGAACAGTCTACCCATAGTGGAAGTCTTTTGAGTCATGTCCGATTGGCTCATCCAGGTTCATTAGATGAAGGAGGTTGTTTTTTGGGCAGTAAGAAAAGGCTTGTATGCTTTCCCTTAGATATAAGGAGTGCTTTGTAAGTATCAACCAGCCTTTTCACCTGTGGGCCCCAGATGAATTGCGGAGCTTATCTGGATTCTTTGAAACCATAGGAGGGAGTTTTGAGTTGTCCCTACAACCTAGAAAAAACAAATATTAATTTGAGCCTTACAGATGTGTTAATAAGGAGGGAGAAATGAAGAAGAGTGTTTGGTCGTACAGCTGAAGTTGAAGTTCTCGTATAGAGATCTGATTTTTTTTTTTTCTTTTTAACATCTGAGCAATTTAAACACTGTAAAAAGTCACATCAATAAAATCTCACGATGTGGAGAAATGTAAACGTACGTATTGTCCCAGATGCTACACTGGAACAGATAATAACCATACCAAGATTTTGTAAACTAATGTTCATACAGTTTTCAAAGCTATTAGATTCTTCAAACAGTCAATAAACTACACACAAGCTAGGATGCCTACTTAGGGGTTTCGAGCGGGCACGAGTCGTAAGGGCGAGTTGTAGCACAAGGTCGGGGTTAGCACAGCCTCCTGTTGTGTGCTTCCCAGGGAGTGGTAAGCGGGGTCTGAATTCGCCGTGTGAGGATGTATTCCTCCGTGTGAATTTAGGGAACCTGACTTCTGTGTGTCCGCATCACAAATGTTATGCAGGTTTCCCTTGGTCATACGAGAGAAGCTGAGGGGAAGTCATTTGAATGAAACTGCAAATGTTGGAAGGAGGTAAATGAACTATTTTGGGAGTGCTTGTTTCCCTCCGATTATCAGAGCAGCATGGATGACCTTTGTACGCAATCACCTGACTCCTTTATGCAGAAAGAATTTGACTTGCATGGTTTCTCCATAGATGTTGGATGTAATAGAAAATGACTGGAATGAGGAAGTTGGGCATTAAGAAAAATTTGCCAACAAGGGTAACGAAGCAGTAGGAATAAATTGCCTAGGGAAGTTTTTGGGTTTTCATCACTGAGTAGGGGAAAAAAAAATTCAGTTGATAATAAATGCTGCTAGTGGTTATCATCAGACTTTAGGTGAGCCTTTCAGGAAGGAGCAAAAATGTGTCCCAGTTCACAAGTGAAATAAATTCCATTCAGGAGTGGGAAGAATAATTTCTAGTGATGCGTGAAGATCTGGAAAGTGTTATTTATTGCAGTATGCTTAGTAAATCTAGGCCAGGTATGAAACATTAAGCTTTTTGGTGTTTGCTGTATATTAAAATGGGAAGTCATTGAACCAACAAATAGAGGAATAAAGGATGTAACTGAACATTGTTTGCTTTTTGTATATATAGTTGCCATCATAATCTTATCACAGGCTTGAGCCATGGTTAAAATTTGGAACCCACACAGATCTTCAGACCAGTTTTGCTGGCTTCTTTTCATGATACTGAATATAAACTTAAGACAACTGATTAATGTGTTGCTGTGGAAAGCTAAGTATAAAAGATCAGCAAGTGAAGTGCAAGAACAGTTGAGGATAGAGCAGATTTGTTCAATTATGCTTGTCATAATCGTTGCATCTTCTGATGTACTGCAATATGTACAAATCAAAGCCTTTGCACAAGATTGCTTAATAACTTGAAAAACGTAGGTTTTCTTCATTTACTGTAAATTGTGGGAGTAGAATGAAAGGATGTGTCAGTATGGCTCTGCAACTTTGTGAGCGCTGACAAAAAGCAAGCATGGATTAATTCTTAATAACTAAGAACAGTTTCATACATCATCTTTGCTCCTGTAGTTACTGGGGAATGAAGAAAGGCAATGGAAACAAGCTTGTTTATCAAAAGCAAGTTGAATTATTTTACTCCAGCTTCTTTGGAGTTGCCAATATGTAAGACATTTGATTTCTAACTTTAATTGTTGATATGAAAAATCCTGTGCTGACCACTGTCCCTGAGAAGAGGACTTTGGATGTTGAAATAGCTGATGGATAACTTTATTTTGTGTGTCAGATTCGGAGACTTTTACAACATTTAGAACATCCTGTGCTTTGTATTTCAGCTTGGGTTATCTTATTGCAAACCATTAAGAGGAATAAAAGTACAACATAATTGTAAGCACTACATCGGGTATCAAGAAGACTTTTTATTAAGAAAGATCTTTAGTCCAACCCTCCTCCTATCAAAAAGCAACTTCTTACCTGTTTTTCATTATGAGTTTTGTTGTCATGAGGAGAGAACTCTAATCATTATATTCGTTATGTGAATTACAGTAATATAGACTGTCTTTTCTTGTTGTGACTTCAGGAATGTATAAAACCCCAAATTCTTCCTTTTATCAGTCCCATTTGTCTGTAGGGTGTCAAAGTAGCAAAAGAAGAGACTGAATTTTAAAACCATAAATGATTGTTTATTGATAACCCTCTGAAATTGACTTTTATGTAAGAAAACTATTCACTAATTTTATATTTCTAATGTTTTGCTATAAATGTTCAGGTTTTTACTGAAAAGACAGACTTTTTTCTGTGGTGATTTAATGTCTGAATTTTATGTGGGTTTTGTTTTCTTCTGTGAGTTTGGAGATTTAATACATTAAGGATTTGTGTGCAGGGGTTTTGTTCCCATCTTCTCTGCCTTCCATTCCTGCTTCCTTCTTCAGTGATCTGTGTGTTTATTGTGGGCTTCCCTGACGTTTTCATTTTTCTGTGGTGTTGTCCTCTCCAGAATTGTCTTTCACCAGCTCCCCCAGCTCTTCTGTTTGGTGATTTTCTTTTTGGTTGCCCTCACTTGCTCCCAGAGCTGGGACATCCCCTAACGGGGAATTCCCACAGCTTGACCTAATGCACGCAAACTGAAGTCAATACAGAAGATGTTGTTGACTGCACATATGCAGATGTGAAAGGTTAAGTTGTAAAACTACGGAGAGTTGTGTAGAAGTGTTAATTGAAGTAACAGTGGTGGTTGTGCTCACTGTCCTTTTGGTTTCTTGATTTCTTAAGCTTCTGTGTAGAACTTTCAAGGTTTCTAATGTCTTATGCTTGAATATAGATCTAAAAGAGAAGACAGTAACCAAAGAATCATCAGCTTCTCAACTTAACTTCATTTCTATACTATGTTTACAGAACAAGAGCGGATACTTTTATTCTGTTCGATCCAAACTGGATAAAGCTGAATATGCAGCCTTGATACATGCACGTATGTGTGCATATAACTGTATTTTTAGTTATAAAAGTGTAGCAAGGGTTTTTTTTCTTTGTTTTAATCCGTCTTGTATGTTATAGTCCTTTGTTTGCATTTACCCTTCGTGTCTAGTGTCTTCTGGTTAGAATTCTGTAGCAATGTAGTATTTTCTTTTATGTTGGATTTTTCTCTTGTTTGAAGTAGTAGGTTCCAGCCTGTTTACCATTTGCTTTGTTATTAAGTGACTGTACCATGGGGAATGTCTGGGTTCAAAGTCAATCTCTGAAAGCCTGAATTACCGAAAGGGAATTACTGACTGTGTAAGCATGTGCTTATTAGTTTAAAAGTGAAATTAATGTTAAGTCTGTTTGCTTAGCTATACAGATTAACAGAAGCTACCGTTTCTTTTATTTTATAGTGGCGTTTATTTTCAACTGGATTGGATTTTGTTTATCCTTCTGTATAACAAATACCATAGCTGGAAGGTATGGTGCAATCTGTGGATTTGGTCTCTCCCTGATCAAATGGATTCTCATTGTACGGGTAGGTTTCTTGGTTCACACTGTACAGAGCTGGTTTGTAGAACAAAACCATAACAGTCTATTCAAGGTTATATAATAATGGAATAAAAAACCCCCATGTATTAAATTCCAGTGCTTAACAGAGTGCCTAGAGTTTTCTCCAGCTTCCACTTTAGTAGACAGTTTACTTGCTATATAGTCATATATGCTTACTAATGATGAAGCGTAATCTGTTTTTATCTGACATAGCTTTTTATGTTCATCGTTCCATTAAAATAAATGCAGCATGGCTCATTCTTTGTACAAAAATTTAAAAGCATACAGAAAAAGTGGAGCAAGTACCTAAAATGTCACTAGAATTATAGTGTCTTATATAAAAGATTTAAAAATGACTCGGCCTATCAGGGAGGGGGAAAAAAAGTCAGAAAACATTTCTTCCTTGTATCTGAGTCTTTCATTCCTTGTAAGATACATAATGATTCAAGTCAAAGTTTAGTCACATGTTTACCATCTTAGATGCTCAATTTCTTGATATTTTCACTGCAAGACCAGATACTTTTCAGAAAGGTATGTTAGTCAAATGGAAGTTACTTAGCTGACTAAGTGGATGCTAGATGAAACGTAATGATTCTTTCTGAACTTGCATGCTACAAGTCTGTGAGTCACAACATTTAAAATCTCATCCTGTGTAATGAAGTAAGAGATCTTGGATAACTTAG